ACACAGAACGACATGTCTCCAGTAACGGCCGCAGACCTCAGTGTTGCAAAACCCTGGACACGTCCCACAAAGCTAAGCTAATGTGAGACTAAGATTGAAGTCATTAAACGTAGCAATGAACATGGCTGAAACCAATGAAAACATACTAAATTCAGCATGATTCTCAAATAAAGTCTATCAAACATGATAAAAATATTGCTAATTTAAATGGAAAAAGGAAATGGAGAAGTAAAGTAGCACCTGTGGAGGAAAAACCCATCAGTACAGCAAAATGAGCATGCAAGGTAACATAAGATCAGTTCATATGTCGAACCTCTCTATCACACTATAATGAGCAACACCACCTAGTCAAACTAATCCTAAAAGCCTTAGAAAATGGTTTAATTACAATAAAATAATAAAACATAACATAAAAACTGTACAGTAAAATAAAAAATTACATAAAACCTTCAGTAAAACCCTCAGGATAAAAAGTTAAATCTTAAAAACGGACGAAGCTGGAAAAGTGTGAAAACTGCGAGGGTCCAATCCCGTGGCTTCTCTCGGGCCGGCTGGATTGAACTCAGCGGGTGATTGGTTCATTTGCTGGGGGAGGCGTGGCTAGAGACGAGTCATCCTCCGGATCTCAGTCTGAGGAGCGTTAGTTTTTAAATGTCCATCATTTAATTGACACAGGTAAAAAGAATCTAATTTGATGAAATGTTGATCCAATGTTATTCACACAAGGTTTTAGTCAAATGTTCTACTTTTGATTCTATTAGCTGTAACTTTGCTTTATGTATTCTGTTTTTCTGTGAAACTTTATAATTTTATCTTTAGAAGGCGCTTTATAAATAAACTTTACTTACTTACTTAACAGCAGACTGCACCATTTAAATCATGGAAAGTCCAGCAATGAAAAAATCAAAACTACTAAACAATGCAAAACCTGCAGTGATTCAGACTCAGGGTTCAGTCCAGATCGGTTCCGGATGAGATCAGAAAAATCCAGGCATGAGTTTACAACACAGCAAACAGGTTTTTATTGAACCGAACAGAGGAGGTGAACTCACACAGACCGGCTGATGCTGGAAGTAGAAAAACTAATACAGAAAATACAAGCGGCTGCAGTTCTTCCGCTGTCCGCCAGGTGGTGCTGCAGGAACACAGCAGCAGCCTTCCTGCAACCAGGTTAAAACTAACAGTTCCCAACTTCATCAAAACTTCATCAGAACTTCTTCATCCTCTGACAGAACCAGTGATCGAGTCGCTGCAGGAACATCTAGGGAGCACAGCTGGATTCAATTCAACACTGAGATATGAAAAACCCTTCACAATAAAAGTCATAATACAACCACTGATACTTTCATAATAAAAGTTCGAAAAGATCTGAACGTATTCATCACAACGTAAAACAGAATAAATAAATATGAAGTTTAAGAGAATCTGTACTTATCAAAGTAAAATCAGTTTAAACTCGGCGTATATTTGCTTTATTTATTTTACAGCTTTAAGCAGATAAACTGACTCATGATGGATTTATTTCACATTAATAAAAACTGATTAACTTAAATAAAATGCAGATCTGATCCGGTTCTGTTTTTACAGGATCCTAGTTGGCTCCTTCACAATAAAAGCCTGGAGTTCTCAGTCTACACCTGGAAGAGGAGCCAGGTGCGTCCATGAGGCTGAGCACCTGATTGGTCAGTGTTTATGACATCACTTCCTGTCTGTTCTCAGAGGGCGTTTCCTCCTCTGTGTCATTCCTCTTCTTCTCTGGTGATTCTCAGGCCGTTGGCCCCGCCCCCCGGCCTCCCAGCATCCTTTGCGAGCGGGGACGGACCGGGTCTTGGCACGGACCCGGGCAGTGGGCGCTTGGCGGCGGAAGGCCACGGTGGCGGGCGGAGCTTGGCGGAGACGCAGCAGGGGCTATGGCCGGCGGAGGACAGCGTCTGCTGGCTGCCGTTCAGGAAGGACGAGGCGTTTGACCCTTGCTGGCAGCGGTAGTTGTAGTACGCCTGCCATCCCTGGCGCTTGCTCTTCCAGCGGCAGCGCAGGATGCGGATGAAGGCCTGCGGGCGGAGCAGAGCGGTGAGGAAGACTGCGGGGAGGGGAGGAGCTTCGCAGGGCCTTACCTGTTTGAACTCGCGGCTGTAGCAGGGGTAGATGATGGGGTTCAGGCAGCTGTTGAAGTATCCCAACCAGAAGATGACCTTGAAGAGGGTCTCTGGAGGTCGGAGGCTGCTGTTGAACGAGCCTGAGGACGAACAGAGAAGATCAGTTTCTAACGAGGCGACGCTCGTTAAGGAACAACCCAATTAAACAGCAAGTAGTCTGAACTCGGAGAAAACATATTAATGTTCATTTATCAAAGTCATATTTTTACCATATTTATTTATAAAAGTCAGTTTAAAGCTAAATATTTACCTAGCTCACTAGTAAATTATTTAGTCTGAAGCTAAATAGTTAGCAGAAAGTGAGACAGGAGAAAATAAAGGAACAATGGAGGATATAATTGTTTTTATTTATATTTAATTAGGGATGCACAGACCCACTTTTTTCACTTTTGACATTGATATTTGAGGTTTAGCATCGGTGATGTGTGTCTGATACAGAAAAACAGTTGATTTCACTTAAAATGTTTCTTTAAAAAAAACACTGACATAAATGTTCTGAATTACACATTAATTTAATAACTGCATCAGCACAGCTCATCATAACACCAACAGCTCCACTAACTGGTCAAACATGTAAAACAACTTTAATTTGTTCAGTCAGAGCAGGTAGGAGAATAACAGCCAATAGAAAATAACAATAGGTTGACTGTCTTTGTCAAACATGTCAAAAACAAACTTCAACAAACCTTTCAAACGGTTCAGAAAGTGCAGGTAGAAATGCTACATATAATGTTTAACGTCTTTAATTTTAATTTTAAAAAACTGGCCAGTCAGAAACTGTTCTACAAACCCTTCTGATAACGCTGTGAATAATTTAGCTTTAGTGTAATTTTACCATTTAAAATGAAAAATAAAAACCAAATTGCCGAAACTCATTGGAGTCTCAGCTCCGCCTGTGAAGGAAAGCTTGCTCGTCTTCCTCGGCTCGTCCTAGAGCTCGCGCTGATGATCCGCTGATGATCCTCTGATGAGCCACTGCGTGTCCCTGGATCATCCTGGACTCAAGCAGGATCAGGTTCTGGATCAGCCCGGCTCCTCGGCAGGTGGATTAGCGCCGCTGCTCATGGACTTGTAAGGCCATCCTGTGCCTGAGGCTCTGATCTCTGACTATATATGAAGAGTTTCCCGGCTGAACCAGACGTTGGAGCCATGTGACACCTGCCCGCCGTGCAGCAGTCCCAGGAAAACTCATCTTTCCAAGTTTGGAGATCCTCCTCCAAACCGGCAGCAGGACTTATTTTGGTTGGAGGCAAGGGAAGTTTTGGGTTCCTGCCACGTCGTCCGGCGGTTCCCAGGAGCTTCTGGAGGAATTCAGCTGGTTTCAGACCAGTCAGACGGACTCTGAAGTGGTTTCTGGCTGCTGAGAAGAAAAACCCTCAATAAAACCAACGATGAGACGTCTGGGTTGCTAGGAAACCAGAGAAGACGCTCCAGATGCTGCCTGATGGATGGAAAGCAGGTTTCAGTGGGACAGCTGGACTGAACGGAGGAGCTGGACTCAGAGTTTCACCTGGAACTTTTGTTTTCATTTGTTTCTGGTACGCCCGTATTTCTCACGCACATCCGCCAACAGCAGTGATGGAGGATGAAGCGGCTTCTCTTAATTTTAGTTTCTGCTTCTAAACGATCTGATTAGAACAAACTATTGTTGTGTTCAAGTTGTGCTAAAAGCACAAAGCGATGCTAGCCTAAAGTAGCATCTCAATGCTAAACATGTAGCAGCTAATGCTAATGTTGGCATCCACAGCCCTGATTTCCAAAGAAGCTCCATTTGTTGTTGAGCTCATACAGCTGTTTATTCAATAATTTAGCAGCAAAAAGGTTTTATGAATTGAAAATGTTGCTGATTTTGTCAATATATGGTTTGATTAACATTTGATTATTAATTACAGAGGCTGGAATTAATGCTCTTAAAAATAAAAACGTCAAACCCTAATAAAAATATATTTCTGAACCTAGTATCCAGATTAATTCAAAGCTACGGAAAATTAAAGATTGAATTAGTTTGGAGTTTACCTTTTAGTTAAAGTTTCAAAGTAATGAAATTAATTAAAATGTTTTTAGAAATATCCGATTTTTAAAATAATAATCCTAAATAACCTAACTCACTTTATTGTTTCTGATCTCAGACTAAAAGTTAAATGACTCTTTCAAGAAAACTTAATATGTATTTTAAATGTAATAATATAAACTAAGCTGAATTTAAGGAAATACAAAACATTATTAACGGTTTCATTTGCTCCTTTGTTCCCTGTAATTCCTGGATCTGAAGGTCAGATCCTGCAGGTGTAAATGCAGCTGCTCTGCTGCAGCAGCTTTAATGCAACACTGCAGCGCTTCCTGTGAGGACGCAGTGCAGATCATGACTCAGCAGAGAGACGAGTCCCTGAGTGGACTGTCTTCATCACCATCATCAGCCTGTTGGACAGCCTGAAAATGGAAACTCAGCCTGAGACAAACTTCCCACATTACTGAAGAGAAAACACCTGAGCTGGTCTGGCGTCAGATAACTGGGTCGAGCCCACAGGTCCAGCTGCAGGTCCTATGAAACTGAGTTTACTCTAGATGTTGAAGCTGCCATGTTTTAGAGTCCAGAGGAACTGGATCGGGTTCAGAGTCAAATCAATTAAACCCTTTGAGCAACCTGTTCCCCTCTTGGCCTGTGGGGGCGCTGCACCAAGAACCACTGAAGGAAACGACATAAAAACCTCTGAAGACACTGAGCGAAACTTCCTTCTTCACCAAATGGAAGGAAAAATAGAGGCGTCAGATTTTAGCGGTTGGAGGATTTCTCTTTACTCTTTGGCTTTAGTCCTGTTAGCGCCAGGCTAGCATATTAGCTTTGGTTGTATTTACCCAGAATCCCCTGTGCTGTTGTCCACTTCCTGCTTTTGGAGCAGTCTCCGATCTGCTTGGCGTTCACATTCAAACCGAAACAGAGTTCACTTCAATTGAACCCAGACCAAGGTTTGGGAGACCAGAGGTCAGAGGTCAATTAGCATTCACACCTCCTCAACCAAACCAGACTTTATAGGCAAACGGACTGGAGTGAGATTAAAGCGGACAAAACAGGGCTGGTGGAAAATGTTCAGTTTGGATCCAGTTCATTTAAAGACTTAAAACTTTGGTAATCAGTTTGTTGAAATGAAAAACAAAACAGATGATTAGAATAATCTGTTGCTGCTGGTTTGGGTTTATTAAATCCTCCTCAGTACTCAGCTGATCCATGTGGCAGCACAGATCTCACACACTGTATACAAACTGCTTCCTGTCTGCTGGGATTGGATGGATCTGGAGTGATAAACTTTCATGATGTGGGAAACAAACTTCCTGGTGAGGAAACTGGACCCGTTTCAGGATTTTTTCTGTGAAAGTTGGTGAGCTGCAGCTGAAACTATTCCAGACATTCAGCATCAGTCGGCTCCTTTCGGGGTAAAAATGGATCTGGTTTTATCCTGGAAACACGGCGAGGCCTGCTGAGAGAATCATGGGCCCATAGCTAACCACTAACAGCTAGCAGTGCAGAACCAGAGGAGATGATGTTTGCTCAAGATTGATGGGAGGCGGCGTGTCGGTCTGATTTTCAGCTGGACTTCTTGTTTCTCCTCTAATGAAGTGGCTCAGTTGTGCTATGACGGGTTCTGACCCAGAAACAGATGTGTTGAAGTGATAAAATAACATCCCACCTCTGATAAGAATCTCATTAAATACGTTCTAATGTTTACTCTACTTTGACTTTTACTTCTAAAGGTTTTTAAAAGCTGAAGCATTTTTTGTCTGCTAAAAATGATCTGAAGCAGAAATGGTAGAGAAATAAAAGATCTTTGATGGATGATCTGTTGAAGAAACTTCAGCCTTTTTTAATCTAAGCGATATTAAAGAAGCGTTGGTCCATCACTGAGACGATTGGGTCAACAGAACCAGTTCAGACTGCATCAGGCTGACATCAGCTAACACCTCTGCAGACCCCACACATACTGGACACGAACTGTTTGTTTTAGATGAACCAATCAGCAGCATTGTGTGGACTTACTGATGGGCAGAACCAGGAAGAAGGGCAGCCAGCAGAGGATGAACATGCCCACCACCACGCCCAGCGTCTTGGCAGCTTTCTTCTCTCGTGAGAACTTGAGCAGCTTGACGGTGAGGGCGCCTCGGCCGGCCGAGGCTCCGCCCCCTGCGGCCTTGGCGGGAGGGCAGAGGTCGTGGATCTGCTGGTTCCGGCAGTGGATCCTGAGGGTGAGCTCGTTGGAGTCCTCAGCGCGGTCCCTCATCATGCCGGCCTCCAGGTTCCTGGTGGTGCGCTTGGCCACCACGTAGACACGGCAGTACATGGCCAGGATGACGGCCAGCGGGATGTAGAAGGAGCCCAGCGATGAGAACAGGGCGTAGAACGGCTCCTCCGTGATCACACACACCGTGTCGTCCTGCACACACACCCAACAGAGCTTCAGCCTGACCTTTCACCTCTCAACACCCTGGAGAACACCTGCTGCTGGTTTTCACACTCTGAGGACAAGCATCTAAATAAACATCAGTAGTATAAAAGTATAAAAATTAAACATAATTTAATGCCTTTTTCATATCTAAAATAAGTTGTTAAATAAAAAATCTGCAGAATGAGAAGGGATTTTTTTTTTTACAGTTAATTGTCAAAATAATCAATTACAAAACTAACCATTAGAAGCAGCCCGAATGTATAATTTTGACCCTGTTTAGATTATTTGAATCCAGTAATCTAAATTAATGCACAGCGTTCCTGTTAAACTGCATCATCAACTAACTGAGGATGAAGAGCAGATCCAGGAAATCCTTAAAGGCCCAGAATAATCTGAGCTTCAGGTCAGGATGAGAGGAGATGAGTCACCTGGTTTCCTTCATCAATCACAGAAATATCAATGAGATCATCAACTAATTATCAGCAACCCGGATTCAGAGACTCCTTCAGTTACAATAAACACAAAATGAGACGTTACCAAACGGAAAATATCATCAGTAAAACGATCAGTTTTTACTGATCTCCAGGTTTTTGAGATAAAAAAATCTGATTTGATAAGGATGAAGGTGGGTGGAAGACTGAAGCTTCTGTTTCTGACCCACAGATGAATTCAGAGACGGATGAACAGACGGAGAACCGTCTGCTGATGATCCACGAACAGATTCTGGGAACTAGTTCATCTGCTGCTAAAAGAACCTGAACCGTCTGGAACTGAAATGAGTCAAAACTCACCAACACAGATAGAAATACAGATAATAACTAACCCTGACAGAGCAACACTGTCAGTGTTAATAACTAATACAGAGAGATAAAGAGATAATATTTAATCCTAAAGTAATATAAAGTAATATACTGAACAACCAGGAGAATTAGCTCCTGGTTTCTGTTTCAACTCAACAGGTTAAAACAGCATTTAACGTTAGAAATATTATTTCCTACAGTTCATTGTCTTACTTAAATGTTAATATAATTGATTAATCTCATTTAAAAGATTAATGTGTACAATATGAGGAAAATAATGATGAAAATGGTAAAAGCAGATATTAACCTCACAGTGAAGTTTTCATCTGTTTATATTTTTATTCATGTTTTTCTGTTTCTGTTAAATGATAGATAATCTTGCTCTTTAACTTGTTTTTGATCATATAGTTTCATCCTTTACTGTTTGCGTTTCCAGGTTGATAATATTGCAGGATGTTTATATAAACTCATTCTTGTTCGTACTGATTTGACCTGATTCTTCTGGCTGGTGGTAATGTTCATGTTTCAGAGCGACGCAGCCTGAATCCAGACATAATCTGAGGAGAAATTAGGGTGATGATACGGAGGCCCTCCAGCCTTCACTACAGAGTAACCATGACAACCAGAGAAACAGGGAAAAGCTGCTCAGAATTTATAAATAAAGACTTTCCCATTAATCATTTTAAACAAGCCATTTTTATAAAATACATCAATAAAAAGTGATTTTTTTTCTCTAAAATGAGATCCTGTGTTTATCATTTTATCAGCTTCTGAGGCTCCAGGTGTATGAATATTTATGGGCTCATCTGTTTTTCTCTGTGCAGCAATGAAAATCCCCACCTTGAGTTGGAACCCTGAAAACATCTAAAGGATAAACTCTGTAAATGTGGTGATGAATTGAGGTGATAAAACAGCTAACAGAGTCTGGCCTCTGGTCATAATTCAGTTTTTATTCTGAATTGTCTGAACGAGGCAGAAATGAAAACAGCTGATCCCGTCTGAGGAGGAAAAAGCAACTAAATGATTTGAGTCTTCAGCTGTGGAGAAAATCTCAGTTCAGTCTAATATTTAACTCAGTTCCCAGAGAATGAATGAACTCTTTGTTTTTCAGACGCTGTTTGCTAAAATGAGATGAAAACATGATGAGCCAATGTGACTGTGTGATCACCCAGAGTGACGTGTGTGTTGGATTATTTCAGCTCATCTCTCTGTGGAAACAAAGTTTCCCTGAACGCCTCGACGCTCCGAGCCTTAGAGGTCAGAACTGACCGTCCATCAGACGAATGAAAGAGCAACACACTCGCAGCAAATATAAACATAAACATTAAAAAAACCATTTGTTATCTAGAAGTCTGGTCCACCATAAACTCCACCTGTGAATAAATCTATTAATCACCTTTTGAATCCAGTTATTAAATAATCGCAGTATTGAAGTTCTTCTTCTGAGGATATTTTTAGCTCTAAATATGGGGGTACATTTGTCTCAATAATATTTAATCAAACAGAAACTAATCTCGATTTAAAAAAGTAAGTTGTGTGCAGAATGTGATAATAGTTTAAATTGGCTGCAGCATTCATATCATATACATACAGATCTGTTTACATCCATGATGGTCTCACATGACGGAAATAAACTGAGATGAATTCAGTAAATAGTTTCCTCTGGTTTCTGAAACTGGACCTGGAGCCCAAAAGTGTTTAATAAATATCTGAAGTTGTTCTTATTCTGTTCCAGTCAGACGATTCTGATCTGGTCCAAACGGGCCCGGTGTTACCTGTGATGGCGGCTGCTTCCAGCCAAGCAGCGGCCCGATGGAGATGACCAGCGCAAGGATCCAGACTCCCAGCATGGCCATCAGTGCGCGCCTCCTGGTGACCACCATGGGGTACTGCAGCGGGTAGCGCACGCCCACATAGCGGTCGATGGAGATGACGCAGAGCGACATGATGGAGGCCGTGCAGCACAGCACGTCCACCGCCGCCCAGATGTCACAGAAGATCCGACCAAAGACCCAGTAGCCCAGAACCTGCAGGAACCAGGAGGAACGTCAGAGAGACGGCCCCACCGCACCGTTCAGATTCACACACACACACAACGCTTCAGGGAAGTTCTGCTGGTTTTAAACCAGTCCCACTGGTTCTGTGATCAGTCAGTATCTGAACTGGAACAAAGTTTTTATAGAATCCGTTAAACCTGAACAGAAAAAACATTCAGTTCAGCCTACATGGTGTGTGTGTGTGTGTGTGTGTGTGTGTGTGTGTGTGTGTGTGTGTGTGTGTGTGTGTGTGTGTGTGTGTGTGTTATGGCTGTGTGTGTCTTAGAGCTTAATTTTATTATCTTTCTTTAATAAAATGTCTCGTATGAAATGTCCATTTTGTGTGAATTTAAAACAAAGTTTCTACTGTACAGGCCTGTCAACATTAACATATTATCATGGACGATAAATCGTCCCAAATTATCGTGATAAACGATATTATTGTTGTTTTGAGACCATTTTCAAATTACATAAAAGGTAAGATCAAAGATCAATAAACTATAAAATCTAATAAACATTTAACACTGAGAGATCTGGAAGACATTTAAATAGCCAAAATAAATAAACCAAACAACAGAAACAACAAATAAAATTAATTATTAAGTCTCTGTAAACAAACTTATCCTTCAAAAAAGAGAGATCTAGTTGAGACCAAAACACCAGTGAAAAGTTTTATTATCCGGTTTTTGGTAGAAAGAGAAACAACAAATCAAGGAAATAGAAACTATTGTATTAATTTTAATTTAACATGTTATTTATTGATTTACTGCTTTTTGCAACAGGTTTATTACTGTATGTTAAATGATGTAAAATAATTTTTTAACACTTAATGTTTTCTTCCTTTTAGTTCTGGATTTAGCTCCACGAACGTTCTGACCATATTTCCTGTCCCCCACAGCATGATGCTGCCACCACCGAAACAAACCAATCCTTGGTTCTTAAACTGAACAAACTTGAGCTTTTGGCCAGCCATGACAGCAAATGTTACTGGGAGATAAAATGTCACAGAAATTATCATAATAAATGATATTGAGACAATTTTTAACTAATATAATCATAAAATCAGAATAATGCAAGTAGCAACGCTCAACATTGGAACTGTTTAGTTATAGCAGATCCTGTTTTTACTAATCTGCAGTTACAGAGGGGGTCAAACGTGAGGAATCACTGCTGATGTTTCCTCTTCAGGATGAACAGGCGGCCATGTTGGCTGGAACAGAAACATTTACTGAGTTTGTTTCGGGGCTGGATTAAAAATGAACCATCTGGCCTGAAATAGAATAGAAAGGTGTGTGTGGATGTTCAGGTTGTGTGTTTCCTGCAGCTGGTCTTCATTACGCTGATTCTTTAAAACGAGTCAACAACTGTTTCCAAACAGAGCCGTTCTGTCTGCTGTCAGCTAATGGAATAATCTGATCTGCCGCTGAAGCTAAAAGTCATGAGGAAACACAAACAGCAGATATTTCACATTTTTACACAAACTGATTAAATCGCTTCAACTCAGATGTTGTCTGTTTTTACCTCTTTTATTTTCCTCCATCTGGGTGCAACTAATTATTAATATTAATGTTATTATTATTATAATTAATGTTATTATTACTGCATTTACAGTAACACTTCCCCCTACTATAGCATTATAAGTACCACCAACCATATTTTAGTATTTCTACAAACGCTGTATGTTTATGTTATTGTTCTAAAAGCTGCAAAATACATAAAATTATAATTATTATTGTAATATCAAAATATGCATCATCATAACAGCAAAGCATTGCTTGGATATAATATATGGCAGGCTGACATTTCAGCTGACATTTCCTTTCAACTTTCAGATAATGGTGAAGCATAACCATGGCAATGCTTTGTTTTACGACGGGAAGCAGCTGATTAGCATCTCTACAGCTAAAATAATTCCTGAACTTTGACCCTGAAGAGTCTTCCAGGGCCGATCACCTCCTCTCTGGTTGGAGTCTCCAGCATCTCCAACCAGAGAGGAGTGGCTGAAAGCAAAGGAGGCCGAGCAGCAGCTGATGACGTCAAAAAGGACATGCTAGTGTTAGCATGTTGTTACAGTCATTAGCCTGTTAGTCAGTAACAGTCTGCAGTCAGAGGCCTGTTTAGATCCGTAGTTAGACCGACTGCTACAGGAAGTCCTTCCAGCTCAGAGCATCACCATCAGCAGAGACTTAGTGAAACCAGTTATGATCAAATTTAGTTTCATTTTAGGATAAATGAAGGATTTATATAGATCTGTTTTTGTTCTATTGCTTTATTAATTTGGAGCCATTTAAAAAGAAAAAACAAGCATGTATAAAGAAAATATACACACATACAGATACAATCATCTGGTTGCCACTGTGATTTCAGATTTGGTCATTTTTCTATATCATACAGCTGAGAAATACTATTTGTTATGTGTTAAAGTATAAATAAAATATACTATACCTACATGTTTATTACAATATATTTTGAATTGATTTGAATTTAATTAAGGGATTTATTCCATGTTAAAATGCATTGCTATTTTAGATTTCCAGGTTGCTGTGCAGTCATAATTATTACACTTGTTGCATTTGCATTTATCTCACTAATATTAGCAACATGGTACAATAAATGCTGACATTTTCTGTGCTTCATTATTATTATTATTATTATTATTATTATTATTATTATTATTATTATTATTATTATTATTAATGTTTTTATCTTTTCTAATCTTGTTACTCAGCAACATAAAAAGGAAACCAAACAGTTGAGCTTAAAAGCAGAACTAAATATTGCTATTTTTCATCACTTTTTTTAGATGAAAACTATAATTTTACCAATTTATTCAATATAAAAATAACTTTTCCTACTTTCTGGATTTCGCTGGAGCTCTTCAGAGCGGAAAGTAAACAGGTATATAACCCATAATTATCAGCGACTGATCGATCAGGGTTCACTGACCTCCAGGGTGGCGGACACCGGCAGCACGGTGGTGCCCAGCAGCAGGTCCGCCATGGCCAGGTTGATGATGAAGTAATTGGTGGGGGTCCGCAGGTGCCGGTTACAGACCACCGACAAGATTACCAGGATGTTCCCCACGATGGCGAACATGATGAAGGAGGCCAGCACCATGCCCACCGGCACCGCCCGGCTCAGGTCCAGTGGCGTGGCGGAGTCCGGCGGCCCGGTCCGGTTGGAGGAGGAGTTCTGGTGGAACAGGTCCGGCAGGGAGCCGTTAGTCCGCAGACTCATGCTGGGAAGCGGTCAGATGTTTAAATGGAAATGAACGTTCACTGCGGATAACACCGGGACTTACTTTGATCCAGTCAGTGGGGGAAACTCTTTAAATGTGTGTTAGAGTCCAAACCGCTCCGGTTCCGTTAGTTTATAAAGAGTTTTTAGATGAAAACTTGTGAAAAGAGAGAAATGACCGGCTCCTGGTTCTAGTTAAATCCCGGGCTGAGCTGGGCGCTCGTGCGGAGCTCGCTCGATTTGAGCAGGAGGCGCGCGCTGTGCAGCAGCAGGTGGAGGCTCGGGTCCACTCGGGTCCATTCGGACTCCTTCGTGGGATTTGGGGGTCTCCGGAGCGGCTGGCGGGCTCCTGCCGGCCCAGCGGAGCTCCTCCTCGGCTTGAGCTTTTGATTCAGGCGCAGGGAGAAGATCTGCGTCTCCTTTTATGGTCCAAGTGTTTAATGTGGGAAAGTTGGGAGAGATGAGGGGAAAAAAGGCAGAGACACTGAAACACACTCAGCTGCATCACTCCCTCCCAGAGGCAGAGTGGGACTCATCTGATCTGAAGATGCAGCTTCAATTTAAACCTGCAGCCATAAACTACAATGTTTTACTGGGATTTTATGTGACAGACCAAAACAAAGGGTCCACAGCTGTAACGATTGCTTTTCAATTTGAAAAGTGTGAACGGTCATGGTGGTATTGTAGGGACTGATGGATTGATCAACGATTGGGACGTTGTACCAAAACAGCAATTTGCAACCTTTACCATCCAAAGAAAAATTTCTGCACATAATGCAGCTGAATAAAAAAGTTAGAGCTATAAATTTTACATAACATAAAAAAAATAGATAAATGTTTACTTAATAAAATTGTAATTTGTCCCCCATTTTATCGCTATTTTTAGGTTGTTAAATAAAGAAAAACATCAAACATATCCAAAAAGAAGATGGATGCATTTTCTTCAATGGGATGTTGATATTTGTGGAAAATATTTAATTAAAAATGGCATAAAAATATATCTTAAAAGCTACAACTGGTACTTTGAGTGTAATTTATTTGTGTAAATTCATGGCAATTGTTACTTAAAAGAACAAAACTAAAAAGAAAAAAGAAACCCTGCCTAAAACACACTCCATAGAGAATATAACATTTTGTGAATCCTCAGCAAAGCAGCAAAACGTGTGATTGATTCTTCCTGCTGAGTGCCAGTTTATGCCAGTTTCAGGAACAAAATGTTCCAATGTTTCACATCTTTAGTAAAAATTATTTCTTTCTTGTTTACGGTGGTTTGTATTTTATACTAAATCTATAAGAAATAAGGAATGAATTGTGGCAGAAACAGAAAAGAGAACCAGATTTTTTACTATAACCAACATAAATCAATGCAATCAAATATTAAACTGGTTATTAAAATAGCTTTATTCTTCTCTATCAGGAACGCCTTCTGTTTGCTGCTCTGCTTCTCGTCCTCCTACGTTAAAATCGGCATATTTAATGTTCCAGAGTCTGTTTCTCTGCAGACACCAGGCTTCAGCCTCCAAGTGAATAATTCAGTGATTGTAATTAACTC